ATGAAATTACAGCCCCCCGGGGTTCCGGTCGGCAGTCACGCCGTCTACTCGAAAGACACTGGCGGCGCTGCCCCTTCTCCCCAGCCAGCTTCCCTTTCAACCTTTTCTACCTTTGCTTCCTTTTTTTCCTTCTTTTTTTTTTCGTCCTCGTGATTCCTTCTCTCCTCTCCTCTCTTCCCATCCTTTCCAATGCTCGTACACACGAGGAGGAGGGGGAGAGGGGGTGAAGGGATTCGTTTCAACTCGTTTGGTCGCTCCGTGGAGCGAGCGTTTACCCTTACAAAAAGCTGCCCTTAATCTTCGACGGAACCCCCGCCTCTCCTCCTCTCCCCCGGGGAGTTTCAAAGAGGAATTTTCCAGTTATTGGAGGAGAGGATATTTCTCCTCGCTTTAACGAGATAACTTGTACTCTTGCGATCAAAGATTGACAGTGGGTCCTCGAGAATCGTTCCTCGATGGTTCTTCTTCTTCTCGATTCCGAGGATATGGAAACGAGAGGTTGAAGGGAAGGATTGAAAGGGGAGATTGGAGGAGAACTTCTTTCCTCCTCGCCCATTTCGGGGGTATAACACTCGCATAGACTGTTCTATTTCGCGATCAATCACGCGAGGGGCGCGTCCCTCCACTCGTTGTTTCACCCGAGCGATATTTCATATTTCCACGTACGGGGTGGAAATATATCATTTAAATATGATGAATCGACGATCGACAAGAGGATTTCACGGAGCATGAACCGATGAAAAAAATCGATTAGCATCGAATAATTGCATGATGCGTAAAGAGAGAGAGAGAGAGAGAGAGAGGAGGGAGAACGAACTTCTCTCGATCGAATCCTCGCTGTTCGCAAACTGTTACTGGACTTTTATGGAAGGGAAGGATAGTTGTTCCAAGTTTTTGTTTCCAACGAGCGTGGCACGTGTCTCTTTATGCGTATAGATCGGGACGAGGTATGAAAAATATTAATAGCATTCTAAAAGTTCGTAAGTTGGTGGAAAAGCGAAATGGATTATTAATGATGAGAACGAGAAACGCGGGGCTTATTGTAGCTTTATATTGAATAGGGGAAAAAAAGGAGGCTGGCTATTACTCGACGTCATTTACATTTATTCGAGGTAAAAATCCTTTCTTCGTCACGGCGCCGTGCAAAGAACAATCAAACGTAATTGACGGTACGTTAATTACAAAAATAAATTACACGGTGCAGGAGGGGGAGGAGGGAGAGGATTTAACGATATTCTGGCGAATAATGGCAGAACAACAACGAATGAATAAATTAAGGAACATCAAAGAAACGATATACGTAAATTTTTGCGCATGCCGGAATTCGAACAATGTTCATTAAATGAGAATACATATATAACGGTGTGAAATAAAATTTAGGCGGGGGCATGGCTACCTCCAATTAAAATCTCCCAATTTTACGGGGAATATAACAATATAATGGTATAAAATGATCAATAGCGTTTTAACAACCGCGATTTGTTCGAATAATAAAATCGACGACGTTTTTTTCGACGCTTAGTTAATAACATTCTGACAAAATAATCTTGATCAATAGAGCCAGGAAGAATGAAATAAACGTACGATTTAAAACGTAAAATAATATTTCTTTTACGAAAAGAAATATATGAAACCTTCGATCAATCTTTCGATGATTAAAAATGAATCTTAATCTTTCATCCCTTAAATATTACAAGAAGTTCCTTACTTTGAATAATATTCTCGTTGAAACGGCACGGATACGCGCGCGTTCTATTGCGTCGCATCGAAATGATACGGGTAAAAAGAAAAAGAAAAAAAGTGACATTAATATAATGAAGAGATAAAAGAGATAAAAGTGTAGTAATAACGATGGAAAATTCTTGCACAGCGGAATGCACCCTCATTAACGAACCGAAATGCTGGATTAAACGTTATCCGCATTTTCTACATTCTCACCGATTTAAATTCCCCCATTATATTGTACAAGCATCCATCCATCTATTCTCATAACCATTCCACCAGTATTAATTATAACTAGCTGCGATTAATACCGACATCCGTTTCGCTCTTGCTTACAACCCGGTTGCAACGGGTTTCTAAGTTTCTCCCTTCCCCTCCCTCCATCTCCCCTCCATCCCACTTATAATCGAGCTTCTCACGTAGCAAACTCTGCATCTATCACAACAATAAAGTTCCCTCGCGATCAGTTTGGCATTTCTCGATCTCGAGATTAACGCGTGTCATTCTCCCCCGGCAAAGCGCAAAGCCTCGATTATTACCGAGCCTCGATGGCTGAGGTTCACTTGCTAATACGCGCATGTCGAGGAGTTTCAAGCAGCGTCGGCAGTAAAGAGAGTTGCCACCGTGCCGCCCTGCACGCTCGCTCGAGTTAAGTCACTCTGTAAAGTTTGCCCGAGAGAGGTATACGGAAGGCCCGTTAATGTGTCGTAAATCGTTGCTCTCGCTCCGTGCACGAGTCAACCGCAGAGATTACACTCGACCGAGGCAGTCAAAAGTGAACTCTCTCTCTCTCTCTCTCTCGCCCTCTTTCTCTTTCTCTTTCTCTCTCTGCAGCTTAGTCAAGTATCCGGTCTTAACAATGTACCAAGGATCGTACTGGTCTCGAGTATCTGTACCGTGAAAAGCTAGCCAAGCTTTAGCTCGTTTACGTGACAGAACGAGACCAGGCAGATGGAGGATTGTCACGGTTGGGAGTCGTCTAAAAAGGCGAGGCAGAGGCCACGGAATCAAATGAGTTTACACAACGACGACAACGGAGTTTCGTGAGTGTAATCAAGCCGGATAGGGATAGGGAAGCGGTGAAAAGGGAATAACCTTCTCTTCTTAGGTTGCGATTTGAATTTCCGCCAAAGGCAAACGAGCCAACACCCACCCACCGGATCCTGGGGATCGTTCGTCGAACGTCGATAGAGGAGATGCGATAAATTTCCACGCAATAGCTTTTTAATTACAGAGAGAGAGAGAGAGAGAGAGAGAGAGAGAGAGAGAGAGAGAGAGAGAGAGAGAGAGAGAGAGTAGTAGTAGTATA